AAGGACGCAGCTAAATAGCTACGAAAGGATTAAAAACGAATCTCACCACCCAGACAGCCTGCAAAGTCAAACAACTCAACGATAATAAAGAGCTGGAAATGGTCCTGTGGTTTCATGGACTAATAAAGAAAATAGAAAGCAACTTGAGGCCGTGTGCTCTCTCCCAGCAGCCTGTCTGCCCGACATGAGAATGAAAGGGTTGGCAATGGCTGATAGAGAAGGGTCCTCGAGAGTGCTCACCGAGGGGGAGAGTCTGCCTTTTCAGAGGTCACGCTGCAGAGAAGGATTCCATCATTTGGGCCACATTTTCATCAAAAGTCTCATTGCCAGAGTGACAAGTGGACTTGGTATCCATTTTTAGAGATGACAATGATAATTTTGGGAACTTTGAAGAAAACCTTTGTCTAGACAAGAAACAGAAAGCTTTTGAAATGCACCATCTGACACCTTGGTTGGCTGGTTGGCTTGGTTATAGCTGAATAACACTGACTCATCCCCCGAAATGCTTTCTCAGCCTCGTGGGACTTCGCTCTCACATTCAATATAAGGCTCATAGCACCTAGAGTTAAGAGAATGACAGTTAAGCTCAACTGTCCAGGGTTGACGTTGTGCTGTCAACAGATCGAAAACTACTGGCAAAGGAACAGACCGGATCTAGATGACTGAAGGAAGGACATCTCAATTCCACTCCCCTCCAAACCCTGTTCTGTTTTCCTAGGTTATTTTATTCTCCTTCCCCTATCCCCAGAAATTCCACAAAGGGAAGAAAATAAGGGATTTTTTTTTCTGTCCAGCCCTTGAGCCTTACTTTGTATTTGTTTGTTACTCCATTGAAGTTTTTCTACATGAGAAGAGTATTTTATTTTTTTTAGCCACAGACAAAAGGAAATTCATAAATTATTGAGCATCTATTATTTGCGGCCAGACTCTTGGGCAAGGTATTTTGCATATATTATCAGTATCTCATATAATAAACACGGTAGAACTTTCCAGAGTTACCATAGTCACAGAACTATAAAATATGAAATAAATAAGAATGCAATTTAAAATTTTGTGTCATCACAGAGGAGCTATGTGCCAGCTTCTTAACCAAGTCATTAAAAACTGTTAACTCAATGCTTTTGAAACCAGACATTACTTAAGGAACAACACTAAACCTACATTGTCACACTTTTCATACAATCCTCATTTCCATCGCAGCTACCTGCAAATGGCAGACCCTGCTCCGTCTTCTTCATGACTTAAACACCTACTTGTGTATTAAGCTGAACCCGTTACCTTCCGACCCCCTGCCCTCCCAGTTCTTTAATCTCTCCAGTTCCTAGGACCTTCACCTCCACTTGACTTCAGACTCCTTGAAGCCTTGTCACCTATGAGTCTCTGAATCAACTAGGACATTAGCCTCTAAGATCTCAGGCTTAGGACTATCTTCGATGAACCATCTTTTCCTCCAGTCAGCTTCCTTGTACATCATCCCACCTCTCTGCGTTCATTGTGAAACATCTTGAAAAGGCAGTCTCCCCTTTACCTCTGGTTTCTCACCCCACCCCTTTTATGCTCTTACAAAGGTCTCTAGTGGTTTTTTTTTAATAGCTAAATCCAATGGGTTCCTCTCACACTTAAACTCCCCAACACCTCTGATTCATAGGAGACTGTCAACCACTCCCTCCTTCTTAGAAAATTATATCCACATTTAGTTGTCACGATCTCGTACTAGCCTGGCTCTCCTCCTAACCTCTTAGTCCTCTTCAAAGACCTGCCACAGCTTTGCTCTCTTGCTCTCATCAACAGCCTCCCTGGGAGCTCTCACCCATTCCTGTTACTACCTATATGTATACGGCTCTCAAGTCTACATCTGTCCTTGACTCCCTCCCTGACCTTGACAGCGGCATGTACAACTGTTTATGGACAGGAACGGCCTATCAGTATTTCAAAGCCAGCATCTCCGAAGCAAGACTTGTGCCTTTTAAGTCTGCTTCTCTTGCTGTGTTCCCCACTTCAGTTGATGGACCTTAACTAGAGTTGTCTTTAACTTCTCCCTCTGCCTCACCCCTCACCCCCCTTCTCTGAGTTACTGAGACCTGTCAGTGCTACTCCTCCATGGCCTTCCAGTCCATCCTTCCTTTCCATTCCCCGCCACTGCCTTAACACAGGCTCCCACTTCCTCTCTCAGTGACTGCAGTACCGTATTGGCCTGCTGTTTCCTGCCACTAGAATGATCCTCGACCACAGTGCTGAACAGTTTACCCTCTTTCCAAACAAACAAAAAGAAAAAAAGAAAAGGTTTTTTCAATAGTTCCCCATTGTCTAAAATATAAAGTTCAAGTTTTGGGGTTTTTTAAAAGATTTTATTGGGGAATTGGGGAAGGGGAACAGCTCTGGGGAATCGGGGGGAGGGGAACAGACAAGTTGCTGTCGTTTTGTTCTTCAGTCTAGTTGTGGAGGACGTTGCTTCACTGGCCCAAGTTGGCACCATCATCGCACTCTTCCCAGGCGAGGCAGATCAGTCGCCGGCTTCTGGACGGCCGCTCACGGCGGCTGCTGGCCGCTCACGCTGGCTGCTGGCCACACACGGTAGCCCATGGCAACCCACTGCAGCTGGGGACTGCAGCCTACGCCGTCAGCCGGCGACTCACTGCAGCCCAGCTCCAGGTTGAGCTGTTGTTCAGCATCTTAGCAGCAGAGGGCAGTGTCACTGGCCCTCATGTGGGATCTGAACCTGGGCCTTCTGGCGTCCCAAGCCAGCTCTTAACCAACGTGCCACTCGGCCGCCCTAAAGTTCAAGTTTTTTTTGGCTTGGCTTTCAATGCCTTCTAGAGCCTTGTCTCAGCCATCATTCCTAGTCTCCTGTTACTCAGTTTCTGCTCTCCAAACACAGTTCCTGCTTTCTAGGCGTCCTCCCTCGGGCCCTCTGTCTATCACTCTCATTCCACTTTTCCCGTCCAGTGCAGCAGCCCCAAAGCTCTTCCTCCTAGCTCGCTACTGGCTGGAAGCTGGAATAAACCCCTCTTTTCTCTCTATCCTCATAGCATTTTTAATTTTGGACATCAGTTATGCCACTTGTACCTTTTCCCATCATGGTCAGGCAAAATGGGTCTATTTTTCCTCCAGGCTGAAGGATTCTTTAAATTCCATTCAACAAGAAAGTATGAAGCTTGATTTCTTTTTCTTTTCTTTTTTTCTTTCTTTCTTTTTTTTTTTTTGGCATTGTAACAGCAACTAGAACTCAAAACTTACTGTAAGCTGCAGCTTTGGGACTGGCCCTTTCTAGTGGGAAAGAGGCTACCGAAACAGAGAGCTGCTGTACTACAGGCAGGAAGTGGGCACGTCGGCACGTCTGACTGACGTTTCTTTCCCCCAGTCTAGGACTTTGCACGTGCCAAATGAATGCCACTTCAAGCTATAAGGCCTAAAAGATGATGCAATCTAATCTTCACGTGTCCTTGCATAGAGAACTGAGACCACAGACGTGAGGGACTCACCCAAGGTCGCCAGGTCAGTGAGTGGCTGAGCTGGACCGAGCCCTGGGCCAGGGCACACTGCCACACCCCACCCCAGCCCCTCTTTTCTGCACACTGGGGGCGGGGGCGGGGAGGATGGGGTAGCGCAGCAATTAATTAGGGTTATGAACCACAGGGAATATTCTAAAAGCAATAAAGTATAATCAATGGATATGTCTGGGCTGAGTGGCCAAAAAAACAAGGAAGATCTTGAAGGTCATGTAAATGTTTCTCCTTTTGCGAATGCATCATTTCCATAAACACTCCCCCCCATTGCTTCTACATAGCTTCTTAGTCATTAATTTTGTTCGTCTCCAATATTTTCACCGTAGCATCTTTGTCATGAGCATTTTTGCTGCAAACATTTTCACTGTATATCTAATTTGCTGTAAGGCAATTTTGCCATAAAAACATAAAATTATGAAAAATAAAGGAGGGATGTTATAAAGGACATAACAACATTAAAAGGAATTTATTGTGAAATACAAAATCGCTGAATGCATTTAAAATGTGTGTAGATTCATGGTAACACTGTGCAAATAATTGATTTTATTTCATGGATTGTACATAGGCACTTGTCCTTACTCTACAGGAAATGTGGGTTCAACACTGTGCCCTCAGAGAGGGCCCTCAGCCCCTTTCTCCTCCCAATGTAGTGGGTTTCAAAATAAGAAACCAACTTTTAGATCAAATCATCCTCATCTGAAAGAAATGCTAACTACGTATTCTAAGACCATCACCACTACCACATCTGCTCGTCACTGTAAAGACCATTATGAGGGCTAGGTAAGATTTATGCATAATATAAAAATGGGTGTAACTGTGAAAACTTGTCAATGAAAAAATGAAAAGAAACTGTCAACAGCTTAAATACATTAAGCCAGATGAACGCAGTTGATTCGTTAATGGAGAAATGAAACCAAGCAATCAAACAAAAACTCCAACTGTTAACCAGTTAGTTTATCTTTTTTTTTTATGGCAAAATTGCCTTATGGCCAATTAGTGATGCCACGAACATGTTTGCAGCAAAAATGATTGTGGCAAGGATGCTAAGGCGTAAGTACCTAGAACCAACTTTGTTCTTTTTGAAAGTCAAATGGTTCTATGGTTAATGAAGTGTTCATTCACAGGTAGAGGGAAGACTGAACATTTTAAAAGGCCTCACTCCTGAATTGGTGCTCCTCCTGTAAGCCATCAGGAAATTTCTAGAAAAATTGCCTGATTTTTTTTTTCTCTAAAAACAAAAGTTATATGATTGAGGTGAGATTTTACTGTATTTTTTTCAAAAGGTTTCTCAAAATCATTGCCTTACTCTTAATAGGGCTTCAAATAAAACCACATTAAAAGTCTCTTAAGACATTTTATCCAGAATAAAATTCTCTATTAAAACCTCCTTTGTCCTTCTCTTTATAAGCCACTCATCTCAGCAAAGTATATTATATTTATTCACAGATTTTATACATTTATTTAAAGAAGTAAAAGAATTTCTTTTTTCCTGCATTTAAAAAGCAATCACATAGCCTGTGTAGATGAAACAAAATATACTCTTTTATTGTTACTATTCCTACTTTAGAAAGTGTCAAAAACTTTTAAGGTGTTACACCATGGCTGGACCAGAATAAAGGAATGGAAAGTGTGATTACTGCCCATCCAAGGCCCCTAAAAAAGCCAGGCTCTTAGTGACTTGATGAAATTAGCATCTCCTCCGATCACCAGGAAGGAAACATGGTTGTCCCCTGCCTTTTCTTCCCTAATTAGTAAGTATATTTCACTTAGACTTGCTTCACTGAAACCCTCACATGGAATAACAACCCGCCTGGAGACTAAAATGAATATATTGTGGGAGTGTGTCAGGCTGTAACTAAGTGATGGGTAAGAGAAAACAGCTCTTACATCTTGTTCATTCAAACCAAAAGACTCTCCCTTGTCCTTAAGGAAAAGGGAAGTGTGGATGTGAATCATTGCACAGCATTTATCTGTGCAGCTGGGAACAATAGCATGCCATTTTAACTCACCGTTATAAATACTAGTAATTATACTTTTTAACATGGCTTTAGCATTCCACAGGTCAAGTATTGTTTGCTTGGAGCAAGGGAAGGACTAGATCTCAGCTCAACGAATCATAGCACCACTATCCTGGGCAAGGGAGACAACCTTGATCTTCATTTTCTTTCTTTAAAACCACAAAATATGTGTAATACACACCGCACAGATTTATGAGAATTAAATAGGACAACATGTAGAAAGCACACAACTGAATTCCTGGCATGTAAAAGATGTTCACTAAATATTAGCTTCCCTCAGTTGACACATCCGTAACAAGGGGCTAATAAAATCTACTTTATGAGGCCAGTGTGGGGATTAAGTGAAGTAGTTCCCTGAAAGGGCTCACCATTGTCAGTTTTGTCTTTTTGTCTATTTCCTAGGCCCACTCCCCACCCTCAAACCAAAGCTGCCTGTGTCTAAAGGGCAATTCAGCATATTAGAAAATAACTTTAGAGAGAGGAAGTTTATTTCTTAGGTAAACAAGCTTTTGACTTATCTACTGAATTTATAATTTTCTCAGGGGGAAAAAAATGACCAGAATTAAGTATTTTTAAAAGCCAACGTCACTAGATAATTTCAACATACCAGGAAGCCCTCGTGGTGGTGGAAATTTGAGAATGTACCAACTTCAGTCCATCCCATTCAACCAGCTAAGCATTTTCTTTTCTTTTCTTTTCTTTTTTTTTCCCAAAGTCACAATGTCACTTCAGTGTAGCCAAAATTAGATGGAATGAGAACTACAAGGGGCGGTGCAAAGAAGACGGAAATGAAAAGAACAGCGCACAGAAACTGAGAGGGAAAGGAAGTGTTCATACAAATCTGAGTTCTCTTCCAAAGAGATCATGGACACTAACATAGGTCATCTGCTAAATGCTATGAAGTTTTCAAAAGCCACTTTTTGATAAAACGGGACGTATCAAATACAGAACGTCTCCGCTCGCACCACTGTTCACATATTCAGTCAACAGCATGGCCTAGCAGCGCGCTCTGACAAATGTATTCTCAGGTGTCACCACCTTCACCCACAGCATGGAGTCGATTAAATTTCGAATGCAATTCCCAAAGGAAGGAATGCAAGAAAACATTCCTCTCATCTTAATAACTGTCATTTATTTACTTTTGGAAAGTTCTTTGGTTACCGGCGGATTTATTTCAATAGTTTGTACAGACTTGACCCAAACAGCTGGCTGTAGGAAATTACCACTGGCATTCCCTTTTGAGTTTTCAGGACAAGGTGCTCAGAATCTGGTATGGTTTGCATTTGAGAAGTACAGAAGAGTTTCTTTTCATGAGCACCTTCGAATTGCAGGCACAAAACCAACAAGAGGAGATAAACCAGAATGTCAAAATATCTTTTCCCCCTCAAGCACTAATTTCTTATTCCTAAGATTTTTTTTTTTTCCTGGAAGTAAAACCAGGAACATTTTTTTAGAAATGCCACCAACTTCGGAGAGAACCTTAGACCAGACTGCAAAGGCGCGCCGTGCAGCGGGCACGGAGGTGCGGCCAGGAGTCCCGGCGCTCGCTAGCTGCCCCCCTCCTCGGGCTCGCTGCAGGGCGAAGGCGCTGACGAGGCCTTGGACTCGCCATCGCTGTTGCATTCGGGCCTGTGCGGGGTGCCGGCGGGGCCCTCCTGCCCCCGCGCGTGGCGCTCCAGCAGCTCCTGGAGGTGCTTGATGTAGCTGATGGCGGCGCGGAGGGTCTCCACTTTGCTGAGGCGCCTGCCAGCCAGCTCCCGGGGCAGGTGGTCTCGGAGGCGCGCGTACCCCTCGTTCACGCAGCGCACCCGCTGCCGCTCGCGCAGGTTGCGCTTGTGGAGAAAGGTGGGCTGGAAGGCGCCGTCCAGCGGCAGGGGCAGGTAGGGCCGTCTCGGGGCGCAGCACGCGGCGTCCAGATGCAAGGAGACCGTGAACGGGTCACTCAGAGGAAGGCGGGGCAGCGTCCCAGGCAGGCTCAGGGGCACCGGGTGCAGATGGTACGGCAAGGTCAGCAGTCCGGCGGGTTTACGTTTCTCCATCATTCGCCGAAAAGCCACCAGGTCACCCAAGAGATGAACCTCTCAACAGAAAATGAAGCTGCAACTTCTCCAAGCGGAGATGCCGGTCCATTCAGACCGCCTGGCACAGCAGGTCTGTTTTTGGAGAAGTTTCTGGATCCGGAAGCTAGGCTCCAGAAGAAGCTTCAAGGAAACTTTGCATGATCCCATAAATTCATTGCGCTCCTCAATCTATTTATAAAGAGCCAGACCGAGGTGCTAGGCAAAGATTTAGGACCTCTAATCCACACTTCATACCCCGTCTTCCTTTCTGATCTTCTTTAAAAAAACTAACAAGGGGGTTCCACCGCTCAGTCCCCTAGCCTGGCAATGTGAGCGCACACCAAACAGAGTAATCTTCCGAAGTCACCGAAGCTTTTCAATGACTGTAATCCACTGATCTGGGTCGTCAAGAGCATAGAAATCTGCAAGGATTCAGAGGAGCTCCTCCCAGGAACCAACAGATCTCCTGGCGGCTGAGCGGCTGAGTGAAAGATCACCAGAGGCTTTCTCCTTGAAAACCAAAACTTGACTGCCCTTTGTGGTTTCCGGCGTCCAGGGCTAATGGAAAGGGCTTTTAGACTGTTTGCAAACCTACACTTGCTCTTTCATTTCTGGGGAGGTGGAGGGAAGACCTCATCAAAGGAAAGACTGCTCCCTTGTGGTTATAAGATGTGTCAAATCAAGGAGGACCCTAGGGAAGGCTTGGGGGTTTTCTTCTCCAAAGTCAAATCTTTTAAACCCCCAATTAGACATTTGTTTTTGAAGGGAACAGGAAAGAAATATACTTTAGCAACGAATGTAATGGTCTGCCTATTATGCTTCAACTTACGGATAGCATAGGGCGCTTATGTGTTGTGCTACTTTTCAGGAGTACATCAAAAGACTGAGTAGTAACAAACACTTTTAGCCAAAGTCATTTCTCCCAGTGCTTACTGTAAACACACTTTAAACACTGCTTTCCGACCTCTTCTAATCCCACCCAGGATATAAGGACATCATCTTTCCATAGTGTAAAGAGCAGATTTCTATTGTATTCTTTTTGTCTTAAAAAAAAAAAAGAAAGGTGCAATTTATTTTCTCCCTTGGGGTTAGAAAAGCAACATTTGAAAGGTGGAGAGCCCCAATTCCAAGGAGAAAGGATGGTGGCTTTGAAGGCCTTTCTTTTCAACACACAACCAAAAATGAATAATTAATCCACCCATGTTGGTGAAGGGCTTTGAAGATGAAAGTGTCATTAAAAATCCAACTGTACTGGTTAATGTCAAAGAACGTGTTATCACACTGAAAAATCAGATTTCCTGTTCTGCAAACCAGCACATTAAAGGCAGCTTCTACTTTAAAAGTCCAACTTAAAAACAAGAGAAGCAAAAACCCCCTCCATTTATGATCAGACTTTCTGCCTGTTCCTCAGGAGCCAAGGTGTCGCCCTAACATGTTTTTTTTGACAAGTCTTATGCTTCCCTGTTTACACTAAGTGATCTGCCCGAAGCAACTGGAAAAGCACTTCCATCAAGGCAAATAAAATGGAAATAATTATTCCTTTCAGGCATAAGATAGTCACCTTTTAGAAGACATAGCTCCCCATGTGGCTTGTACTGGCAAACACGCTTATATGTCACCTTAATTTCTCAGTAGAGTTAGATCACAAGAAAGCTCTTCTCGTTGGGAGAAAAGCCCACCAGACAGGTAGATAGATGATAGGACCACGGCGTGCCTTTTGGCCATGTCAAAGACTTTCGCTTTCATTCTAAGAGTGACAAGAAATAAATGAGATATTTTGAGAAGGGAAAGCATGTAGTAAAAATTGGTTTTCAAAAAGGTCACTTCTGCAGAGTGGAGAATAGATTGGAGGGGAGCAAAAGGGAGAAGAGTTAAAATATACCATTTTTCATGCTCAGATTGGCAAAAAAAATTTTTTTAATTGCTAACATCAGGACAGGCAAAGATTTGGGGAAGGGGCAGAAACATAAATGGCTACAAGCTTTTGGGAAAGTAACTATTAAAATTAATAGAGCACTTCACATATCCTTTGGCCTAGAGAACCCTACAATTTTGTCCTACAAAAATAAATGCACCGGCATGGATTTATATTTATAATAATATCTATTGCAACATTGTGGTGGTTTTTTAAAAAGGAAACAACCCGGATGTCCATCAACAGGAAAAGAGCTAATACTTTTAGAATATTATGCTATTATTTAAAATGTTAGTGCTATATGTAAGAACTTGCAGAGATGTCTATTATGTGTTAAGTGAAAAAGAGCAAATTGCAGAGTAATGTACGCAGCTCAAAGTTAAAACAAATTGTTCTACGTGACTTACATGTCTTTATATGTGTTCATGTGAGCACAGAGATTGAGGTGGAAAGACACACACTAAACTATTGTCATTGGTTGCCTAAAAAGGGTGGCATTGGGGTTGAGGGAGGTGTTCATTTTTCTTTATGGAGAGATTTATGGATCTCTCTACTGTTTAACTTATCACAAAAAGCACATATTACTTTTGTATTTTTCAATCTAGTGAAGTTTAAAATAACAAGAGAATGTTTAGAAAACTTAATGGACACCCCTGATCTGACCCAAACCAACGGATTTATCATTATGATTTCATACTCTTGAACCAGGGTTTCTTGGCTGTTTATAAATCCTGACTCTGAAAGAATAAATACCTGTAGGGCTGTGTTTCCCACCCCAGCACTAATGCCACAATTTAAAATTGATTTTCAGATCCTGATCCTATAGTGGTCTTTTTATAGGGTCCAAGTAATGTTATGATATATCTACATGGTCACAACGAATGCTGACAGAGTCTTTCTTATGCTTTTTGAAGGTGTAAATGCATTGGAAATAAGTGGCTTTTCCAGTGAGAAGCATTGTTTTACTCACATGATGTGAAAGTGGGGGATGGGGAGAGGGAGGCTGCCTTTCTCAATACATCCAAACAGGTCAAAAGAGGAGGTTCCAACTCCCAGTCGCTCTCCAGTCAGTTTTGATCCTGACAAGCGTTCTCTCCAACTTTAAAGATGTCTCCCATAAGACTGGCTAGATTGAGTTACAGGTATGCTAAACCTCCAAGGACACTTGGGACTAGATTTGCATAGTCCTAGGTGGACTGCTTGAGTCATTAAAGATCAGCCTCAGTAGATTTAAAGGTACGTCTAAGGCCTTGGAGAACTGCCACCCCTAAAACTCAGGTCCTTCATCACCTGCTTGAAACCGGTGAGAAGAAAACTATGATGGGCTCTTCTTGTGAAATATTTGATATCACATTATATAGTTGGGTCTCCTAGGCCAGGGGTCAGCATACTTTTGAGACGGAAGAGCCAATCCTGTCCCTCACAACAATTTAAAAATTATTCGAGAGCCACAAACAAATGAAATCACCATTATGTGAATAATATCCTTTAAAAATTTTATAAATGAAACTATGATAGTTTTATTTTCATTTTCAATTTTACTTCAGAGCCACATGTACGTACCTAAAGAGCTGCATGTGGCTTGCAAGCTGCAGTTTGCCAACCCCTGTCCTAGGCTCATGGCACTAAGGTATACATCCTTGTCTGGCCCCACACCGGCAATTTACATCAGCTGTCACAGTGGGAACAGAGAAATATATATAGTATATGACCTCACGAGAGAAATCAGATTTCTCACAGGTGTAGGTTACTAAATCTCAAATTGATTATCTAACACATTTCTATTCAGTTAGTCCTTTTCTATAGAGCTCAGGCATAAACTGTATTACCATGTGTAGCATCCACCAGGGGGCTTCTTAGGTACAAATATGTAAGCATTGAGACTCGCTAAGACCACCGTGGGCCACATTTAGCATCAGATTCATTTGGGAGGATATAGGTCAGGAAGGACAACTTGGAGCAGGGCAAAATTTGGTGTTCCACCTCCCTGGGAGTCCTGGTAGTAATCTACACAGCAGTCATACAGCTGCTCGCCATTAACCTGCAGCCAAGGGACAGCGCTGGTGCCAGGAAAGAAGACTCATGCCAGACTCGTGTGGCAGCTGCGCTGGCTTAGAAGTCTCATACCCCTTAGGAGCCAGTATTTCTTGTAATGGCCTCACAGGAATAGCATCCAGGGACCCACCAGGGCCCAATTAAAGAGTTTTCACACTTGGGGAAGCCCAAAGCTATGCTCTCCCATTAGGTAATTATAGTTTTGCCAGTCCAAATGCAATTTACCAATCAGGTAATTGCTCTAATATAAGTAATGTTGCCAAATGACATAGTTGACAATTCTATCTTTATCAGGTTTCAGAGGCACAGATAACAGAAAGTTAGCTGAAGGTCAAATTGCCATGCAAAAGGGTAAAAGCTTATTAATTCTTTACCTACACCATTACATTCTATTTTAAAGATCATTTAAAGCAAGGTTTAAAGAACCACACATATTTAGGTACAATGTATCACTTTTTTTTTTCTGTTCTCAAATGCTATTTGCATTTTCACCTTGTCTGTGAAATCTTTTGCCATACAGAAATGTAAGTTTTAGATGTAGTCAAATACATTAATTCTTTCCTATGGTTTTTGTCTTTTCTTCCTTATTTAAGGCTACCTTCTCCAACCACACCTTTTACAAGGCCTTTTCTTGTCTATGTGGTGCCTTTGTGTGAATTAGAAAAAGGCACCAAACTCAAGGCTTGGAGAACGAATGGCTGACTCTACAATTCGTCTGGAAGAACTATTGAGCAAGGATGCCCAAATTTGAAAAAGGAGAGCAAAGAAGGTAACGTGCACTTTTAATATCCAGGAGGAACAAACAAACAAACAAACTTGGGATTCTAACTAGGATTGTATTAAATATACAGATTAATTTGGAGAGAAATTACTTTTTTAAAATAATTGAATCTCTCTTATATGAACATAGAACTCATTTATTCAGATCTTCTTTTTTTTTTTGTCTTTTAAAGAGTTCCACAAGTTTCTTTATGCAGATCTTACATGTTTCTTGTTATGTTTATATCAAGATGTCTCATAGGTTTGGTTTCTGTTGTGAATAGAATTTTTTCCTACTCTTCCAAGCTATTGATTTATTTCATGTTAATCTTTAATCCATTCATAAGTGAGCCCTCTTCTTAAGTTCTAATGGTTTTTAATTGCGATAAAAATCTACATACAGTTAAATGCATATAGTCTCATATATTAAATACATGATTCAATGAGTTTTGCCAAATGTATACAGTTGTGAAACAACACTCCACTCAAGATAGTTCTAATCACTATTTTTTTTTTTAAAGATTTTATTGGGGAATCAGGGGAGGGGAACAGACAAGTTGCTGTCCTTTGGTTCTTCAGTCTAGTTGTGGAGGACGTCGTTTCACTGGCCCATGTTGGCATTGTGATCATTGAGCTCTTCCCTGGTGAGGCAGATTGGTGGCCAGCCCTTGGAAGGCCACCCACAGCAGCACACAGCAGCTCACGGCAGCTCATGCCAGTTCCTGGCTGCTCACACTGGCTGCCGGCTGCTCACGGTAGCTCAGGGCAGC